GGAGGCCTCTTTCCTAGTTTGTTGAATTTAGCTGCTCTAGGTAAAGAACAGTATAAAAGTCTGATCTCAGCTCAAGTTTACTGAGTCTGACAAATCATATTTCATTTGGAGGAATCTGCTACCCACTTGGAAAGGGAGTTATTAGTCACTTTGCAATGAGCACTCTTGACTTTTGAGAGTTATTTCAATAAAAATATTTTACACTATATGATCCCAACTACAAACAGAAAAGAGCAAAACACAAATGTCCTCAAATCTTGCAATTCTTAAGGGCTGTTTTATATGCCACGGGCAGAAAGCATGATGCTGTTTAATGAAGTGATTTCATAACCAGGAGAAGACAGCCTCACACGCTAACTGTCTGTCACATGCTGACGCCCTCAGCATCTCTCATGGTTTTTTCAGACCCATTTTCCTCTTGAAGAACCAGGTGAAGGGTGTCACTTGGGTTCAGCCATTTCAATACTCAAGGTTGTCTTATTGCTTTGTTTTTTTTTTTTTTTTTGAGTTTGGGATACTTTTATTTCTTTGTGTCTGGGGTGGATTTTTTTTTTTTTATTGGTTGCTCAAGACAATACAATGATCTTGACATATCATACATTTGATTCAAATGGGGTATGAATTCTTATTTTTCCATGTGTACAGATTGCAGGATCACTTATTTCTATAAGCTCAGACATGAGAACTACTGCCCTCAAAGTCGAAAGTGGCTGTGATCTATTACTTTACCCCAAAGTCCCTGGGCTCCTTGGAAGGAGAACCCCAACATCACATGTTATACCATATACACTGCTTTTTCCAGATCTTCTAGATAGAATGGGTCATTAGTAGATGCTTATTGAAGCACTTTTAAAAATAAAAGATGCCAAATTCATTAGAACAAGGCACAGGACTAAATATAAGAATCGAGATTATGCCATTTAGTCTTTAGCTCTTCATTTCCATGTCATCAGACCTGTTTTAAAATCGTGTTTCTTCAGACAAGCTACTGTTGGATGGCTCTTGGGTTTGGATGTGAAAAAAAGAATTTTTCTCTCTGATTTCTAACGTCCTGCAGTTATTTGGGTTATTACATGGAAGTGCTCTTTGGAAAAGTATTTGAAATCCAGCAGCGCCCAAAAGAAAGCAGAGCTACAGATTTCTCAGTCTCCCTCCTGTGTTTTTTCGAGCTTTACATCTTAAATGTAAAATTTCACTTGAGAGTTTCATATAAAAAGCACTCTAAGATTTATTTGCTTTTTAATATTATGAAATTGCAACAGAAATTGGTTTGGCACTTTATACCTTGTACTCATGGAGTTTAAAGGGTTGAACACTCTTTAAAAATACTTACCCAGATTAAATATTTCTAAAATAACGTCATGGGATAAGCAAGACAATGTATTATAATTTTGTGCTGCAGTAATTGTTTCTGGAGTTCTTATTTTAATTTTTTTTGACATAGTACTCAGATGCATTTTTTGAAAACAAAATCTATCAAGAATGTTCTCTTCCTTCTTTCCCCACTTCTGCATAATTGTGCTAATATATTAGCTAGGGCAGTTATGTTTTAAATGGCATGTATATATTTAGAAGTATAATTATGCAAATTCTACCATGTTTATGATTGTAAATATCCTTTGGGAGCAGTTACTTAGCATCTAGTCCTGAAACAATTTTTCAAGAATTCTGGTTGAAATGCTCAGAATTCACTCCTGAATTCATTTCTTGCTGTGTGAAGGTGGGGCTCATAGTTCTCAGTCCCAAGAAAGAATACTACACAGTGGTAAAAAGTACAGATTCTTGGACATTTTATGCCACTTACTGGCTTTGTGACCTTGGACAAGCTACTTAAGCTGTCTGAGCCTCAGCTTCCCCATCTGTAAAGGAGGGGTGCTGCTAGTGGGTTCTCATGACAAGTACATCTCCTGATGTGTGCAAACTACTTACATAGGCTTGGCTCATAAAAAAGGTAAAATAAATGACAGCTGCCATCAATAGCTATAAAACACCCAGCAACCCTGCATTTCAGCCTAATCAACGAGCTGTTGAAGAGTTCACTGTCAGATTCAGAGGGGTAGCTAGAAAGAAGGAAATGTGGTACAAATCCCACACTTTTCCTTTGTCCCACCTTCTTACCTGTTCCGGAAGTAGTGTGTAGGGGGGTGGGGAGACTGAGAACAAAAGTTCTAGAGTTGAGTTCTTTTGACAAGAAAGTCACTATTTACTCTTGGCACCTGTCTGGCTGAGTTGGGGCAGAGGTTAGTCTTCTACTAACAGCAGCTGTTAATCCAGAGGGTGTTTGAGTGTCTGCATGTATGTCTGTACCTGTGTCTAAGTGCTGTATATCTGTGTGTGTTTGTGTGTCTGTTTGCATCTGTGTGGTGTATGTATCTGTGTGTAGGTCTGTGTATCTTTGTGGGTCTGTATGTCTATGTGGTGTAAATATGTATCTGTGAGTGTTTATCTGTACATGTGTATGCCTATGGTGCGTGTTATATGTGTGTGTACGTGTGTGTGTGTGTGTGTGTATGTGTCTGTAGGTATCTGTATGTTTCTCTCTGTGTATACATATGTGTTTGTGCATGTAGGTGTGTCTATGTATTCTGTCCACGGGCTTGTGTATGGGTGTCTTTATGTATATGTGTGTGTCTGTGTAGGGCTATTAGAGAGAACAGTCTTGCACAAACACCCCAATTCTACCCTTTGGAGCTAAGTTCACTAACAGGTGAGGAGTCACCTAGCCAGATGTGTTCTGTGCCATTTCACATTTTGGGGAAGGGAAAATATGAAAATGTTAAATTATATTCATAATTACAGTCATATGTAAGAATATGATGATAATTATGACAGTACATTTTAGGTGAGCATTAATCTTTTTTGGTCAATGTTTCTAATATTTTCTGATTTAGATGTATACTAATTTAGATTTTCTAAAAAGGTTTTCTATAAAACAGAAATACATAGAATCTTCTAAGATTTAGCAAAAATGTCTCTGAGGCAGGCAAATCCTTTTTAAAAAGAGAGTGGAGGTTCTAAAAGAATGCAGAGGTCACTGAAAGCTCATGTCCTTCCGTGCCTTGGTCAGGGAGCTGCATAGGGAAGACTCCTCAGGTCTGCAGAAGATTCGTGTTTGATTCCCTCCAATAACAAATCCCTGACAAACACAGCTCAGCGAAGCCCTGAAGTTGTTTACATGTGGTAACTACATGGATGACCCCCCACTAGGCACTGGGAAGAAGGCAAATACCACTGTTGGCCAAAATGTACCCAGAACCCAGAGGTGGACACAGTTTAACATGATCACGGTGGGATAGGGCTCTTGATCTTCTGATACCCTCAAGGTGGGCAGTGTGGGGAGGTGTCAGCATGGTGGGATGAGAGGGAGGACAGATCCTGGCTCTCAACATTATATCCAGAAGATGGATTCTTTTTATTATTTTCTGGACTAAATTCTTGTGGCTTTAAATTCCATCTTTTCGGTGATACACCATTCCTCAATCCATACCTCATAATCCACTGCAGGGGACACATCTGTTACCCTTTCTGCAAAGCACATAGCACAAGCTCCAAGCCCCATGACACGTCCTGGTAGATTCCTCTCCAGCTGTGACACTGGTCTGTTCCAGCCAGCCACTGTGGACATTCATTCCACCCCCTTCACCGTCTGTGATTATGATAAGAGTCCCTATATTTGATTCTCAAAATTTTCAATTCCTAAGAACTATGAAAAGGAGAGAGTGAATACTATTTTCAAATCCTTAATATTTCTTAGTTCTACCTACAGCCAGTCACCACTGAGGTTTTTTAGCTGTGTGAGTTAGAATCTGTTGTTGCCTTAATGACCCCAAATGTTCATGTTCATTCTTGTTCCATTCTCCTGAAATCTGTCTCTTGTGAGATTCCTTATGACTGAACAAATAAGGAGGGACAAGCTTTTCCTGATAAATTTTGCTAAAGGGGACAGGACTGTCTGATTTCTGTGTGAAAACATTGATGTAGACAGTTCACATTCCATTCACAAGTTTGGCCTTCTTTTTATAAGGTTATATAATAATAGTAAGTGATAATACCATTTTTAGTGAGGAACAGTGGTTCTAAGAAGGTTCTGAATGACTGAATATCTGATTCTTATTTTTTACATACCTTGTGAATTCACATATGATGACAAGATAAAATGCTTCACCTCTTTTGGCCTCAATTTCCTTGACTAGATTTTTATGAGTGTAAAATTATTATGTTGACTTCCTTCAACCCATTCAGGTTCGAGAAATTCCCTGTACCAAAATTTGCTTTTCTGTTATTGCTTTATAAATTTTGGAGGGGTTTCAAAACATGAGAGGAAGGTTCTGCACTGGTAAATCATACCAATATATGCATATAAAAAGAAATTTAAATACCCAGAGTGCCTCATTCACGAGAAAAGTTTTGCTGATTTTAGCACCATTCCTGAGTGGATATTAAATCTAAACCATTCTATGTTCATGCAAATTCACATTTTAACATCCTACAAGACAGGCAATGACACATTCTTTCCATTTTCCAAAACCAGATGAGAAAACAAAATTGCATTCTAAAGGAAAAACAGAAATTGCCACTGCAAACAAACCACTCACTTCTTATTTTCTGCAGCAGATCAATCACTATGATCTCTTGATCTATTTCTTTGAATAGTTCTCTGCTAATCACAATTTTCTTCTATATGATTCAGATTTATACTAGTGATAATGCTGGCAAGACCACGGTCCAGAGACCTGATGACTGATGGTCCTTGTGGGCATACCTGTCCTCTTTACCATGGCTACTGTGTACCTCACAGGACCCCATTGATTCAGAAGCTCTTTGCAGAGAAGGTGGATCTTGGATGCTCCTCTGTGCCCTCAGTGGCACCCATAAAGCACCAGGCTGGAGCTTGGCATTTATTATTTGGCATCTGTTCTCTGATTTGATTTCTGGAGAGCAGCCCTCCCTCAGCAATACATGAGCACAGACCACCCGTGGCTACCCTTCCCATGCCTTACCTGGTCTCTCTGTCTTTAGGGATTGTAGCAGTGCTGTAGGCAAAAACTTGCTTCTCAACTAGAGGAGGGCCAAGGTCCACAATGCCGGATAATCCTGGAGTGTTCCTGGGCTTTTCAAAATATACCAAGGTGCCTGGTTCCTTTTTAAAGGACTGACGACTTGGCGAGGCCCGGTCTGGCTGCATGGTGTGAGGGGGACCGTGAGCATTATGATGTGCGTGCATGTCTATCATCCTCAGGTCACTAACTCGGTGAGGAGAGGCGGGGGGTGTTTTAGAGCCCAGAGTGGGCAAATGGCTATCTGGATACTTCCTTGATTTCTGTCTGTACAGTGATTGTTCCATGTGCATTTCCGCTTGCATGGAGGGGTTACAATAAGCACTCGCTGACCGAATCGCTGTGCGGTGATATGCAATGATGTGATCAGGGACATCCAGTGGGTGCCCTCCGTGGGATGAGGCTATGCTCATCCTTCCCTCATGATAGAGGTAAGGATCAGCATAGAAACCCTCGTTTCTGTACATCGCGATGTTTTTGCTGCTCATGTCTTCATCGGGCTTGACATCTCTTCTTTCTAAGATGGCGCTTGGGCTTGGTGAGATGGATCTGGAGACCGGCAGGCTGGATAGTCTGTCCCGGGGGATGGTGGCATTGCCAGGAACAACCATGGGGCGAGTGCCCCCATAAGGAATTCTGGATGGGGAGGGAGGCATGGAATGAGGCACAGGAGTGGATGGTGGAGAACTGGGAATTGCGTGGGGTGGATGAGCTGTGGATCCAGGTCGAGAGGCACCAGGGCCATCTCCTCTTGCATAAACAATTTCTCTCTGCATCTGAAAAAATAAATAAAGGAATTAGAAAGTCTACTTTGAGATTTGTGTTTTTAGAGAGGTCTGAGTGTGATGCTGAGAATGGAGATTATCCAGGTATTCTCGCTGCAATTGCAAAGGTCTATATGTGCAAGAGGGAAGCAGGAGACTGCACGTCAGGGGTGAGCTATGATGATGGAGGCAGAGTCAGACATAGAAAGACTAGAAGGTGCTACACTGCTGACTTGAAGACAGAAGGAGGCATGAGCAAAGAAACGTGCATAGTTTCCAGAAGCTGCAAAAGGTCAAGAAATGGATTGTCCCTTATATTTTCTAGAAAAAGGGTGGTCCTGCCCATAGGTTGATACTGGCCTGTGGAACTCATTTTGGAATTCTGACCTCTATGATATAATAAATGTGTGGTGTTTTAAGCTAGGATTTTTCCTCCCAGTGCTGGGGATTGAACCCAGAACCTCACACATGCTAGACAAGCATGATACCATTGAGCTACACCTGCAACCCGAGAGTCATCCAATTTTAAGTATTGTTATAGTGACCACAGTAAATGAATATACCTGACATAGAGCTCAATGCTGTCGGGCTTGGAGAGAAAATATTGCAGTGGTTTAAATTTTAAAATCACAGTTTCTTACAGACTCTTAATAAATGTGGGTCTAATGTATCAATAGTTCTGAAATTGTTTTGTAAAACGTGTCCTGGACATGTTTTCTTACTGTTAGTCCTGGGAAACAGTAATCATCTCTTCTATCTTTCCAAGCTAATACAATCAACAAGACATGACTAGAGAGGCAAAGAAGATCCCTGGGGGAAGCTTGGGAGTTCCATTCATCCACCAAATCTTATTTGAGCTTACGAGAAACCAGACTGAGAAGTTGGGGGAGGGGATAATGATCCTGGAGATATCAGTAAAATTATAGTCAAACTCATAATTGGGAAGCTGAGGGGTAAAGAATCTTGACAGTACACCTTCTGAGGTGCCATGCGGTGTAAGGAACCTGCAGGCACAGCCACGGTGACTAGGGCTTTGTGCGGTCACAGCCCAGTCTTCCGGATGTGTTATTCCCTCCCAGTTCAGAAGCTGCCACAGAGTCTCCCACTGACTCTCCTGTAGAAAAGCAATAGCAGAAGGATGAAGTCAACGGGGAAAAGGGAAATGAATTTGTAATTTCAGTTACGCTATTGTGTTTAGCAAGGGCCTGAATAAAAAAATTCAAACGATTCAGGATATGATTTTTGATACTGAAATTCTCTAATTGGCTACAAGGGACAGGACAGACAGCCTTGGCCCTTGCTTCAAGTCCTATTTGTGCCATCATGGAAGCCCACATTCCCTATCCTTACTTCCAAGAGGTGTGATAGACAGGAAGAGTATAAATGGTTACAGAGGGGATGAGATAGTGGCATGAAGAGAGAGGGGAGCCCTTGAACAAACAAGAACCCAGATGTACTGACAAAAGATGAACGATTGGAAAAGCAGTAAGTAGATTACTCAGAAAATTTGGAATGGAATCACCAATTGATGGAACCACTGAATCACCAGTTATCCCTCAGTATATACCACAAAGACTTAAAATGCAGCCACATCAATGATCATAGCAGGTCAATTCACAAGAGCTAAGCTATGGAACCAACCTAGCTGCCTTTGAACAGATGAATGAATAAAGAAAATGGGGTACATATACACAATGGAATATTCACCATAAAGAACAAAATTATGGCACTTGCCGGTAAATGGATGGAACTGGAGACTATCATGCTAAGTAAAATAAGCCAGTCCCCCCCAAACCAAAGGCCAAATATTCTCTCTGATATGTGGATGCTAACACACAATAAGGAGGGGGAAGAAGGGAAGAACAGAAATTCACTGGATTAGACAAAGGGGAATGAAGAGAAAGGAGGGGGGTTGGGAATAGGAGAGACAGGAGAATGAATGAGACATCACTTTCTTATGCTCATATACGAATACATGACCAGTGTAATGCCACATCATGTACAACCACAAGAATGGGAAGTTATACTCCATGTCTGTGTGACACGTCCCAATACATTCTACTGTCATGTATTGCTAAAAAGAACAACAACACAAGACTAACAGTTGGCTGATGGGGGGAAAGAGAAGAAAAAACAAAGGCAACAAGAGGAACTTGAAAATGAAAGGGATCCCTCAGCCTTGAATACAAAGAAATCAATTCCTTATCACATGATTTCATTTGTTTAGTAAACAACATTTACCAAGCACTTAGGAAGAGCCATACATTATTGGAAGGTATAGTTCTGAACAAGCCCATAAGTTCCTGCCAGGGACAGGCTGAGTTCTTTTATACACATGGTAGAACACAGGCCAAGAACCAGTGGGTCCTCCACAGCTTCCGGACCCTGGGAGAATTTAGCAATGCAGAACCCTTGATGGGACCAGGAAGTTCCACCTGTTATAGTGGATTTCATATAAAAAGTCACTGATTATAAGTACACACGGGGTACAAATAGGTAGCAACAAATTGAAGCCCGTTGAGTGTTCCGTTCCTGGGCATCAGCAAGTTGGCTTCTCAGCTCCCTTAGGGGCTGTTTCTGGGGACTGGTTCTGGTTAATTCCTCACAAGCACAATTTATCTCCTCTCATGTCACACACTGAGTTCCTACCATCACAGGCCAGTCTGTTCTCCTGTGGTTGTTCGTATCCCTGGAATTCTGTTCATCTCCTCACCTGTGTGGATCCAGATCTAGGCTCAGGCTCCAGGTGCCCTGGGGCTCCAGCCCAAGCAATCCTTTCTCTGCTCACTTGACACCCTCATGACTCAGGTGTGCAGGGCCGTAGACCAGGATGGCCACTCCCAAGGTCACTGCGGGATAATATACCAGCATGGTTCTCGTTCCAGAACGGCTAGAGCCACCATGTGACAGGTTTTGTAGGAAGTCAGCACCCAGCCTCTATAAATGCCTCTCCCACTCAGTCTTCTACAATGTAGGATTCAATGAAAAGAAAGGGATGGCTCAGCAGGGCTTCAGAGGTCATAAAATGTAAGAAGGACCAGCTTAGCCAGCAGTGAGATATCTGACTGGATTCTCTGAGCAGTCAAACCAAATAAAGCAATAATCAACCAAAATGAACATCAAGATAAATTCATCATATTGATTCAAACATGGCAACTTCCATAAAGCATCATATAGACCACACAGTGCCCAAGACAAGTTAATAACAAATGGCAACTTGTCATTATTGTCATTAATACCCCTGTGTCATGCTCCTGTCAGAGAGAGAGAGAGAGAGAGAGAGAGAGAGAGAGAGAGAGAGAGAAGAAAATACCTCTCCCCTGCAAGACTCCAAATGTCTAGAACCCCTTTGGGTTGAACAATAGTTCTAACCAAGCTTGTCCCTGTTCTCTGTTCTCTTTTCTCTCTTTGTTCTGCTTTAGACAGCATCTTGGTTTGGGGAATTGTGACTCCAATTAACACCCAGTAGAAACTTCCTTCTTTCTGGCACAATACTAAAAAGAGCCATCTAGATTTCAGGAAGTATAAAACTGTCTAGGAGATAAATAATGTTAATAAAAGAAAACTGTAAAATTAATTTTAATTAATAAAAAGTTGAATATTTTTTTAAACAGCAGAGATATCTGTATGGGTATTTAAAAATGTGTTTGGGGATATGAAAAGAAATGGCGAGGCGTTGCATTTTATAAATGAAACATTAAAAAAATTCTCATTAGGAAAAAATTCATTAGACTTTCTGGTGACATATGTAGACATGATCAAAAAGAAATATAACAAGTAGTTAAGAATAACTCTGTGACACTGTGTTGTAAATTCATATGGGGAATGTGGGTGATAGTCAAAATATTTAACAGCCAATATCCAGTATAGCATGGGTGCCAATCAAGCTCAACGGAACTTTAGCTACTGAGGATGATCCTAGCCAACAGCAATTGGCATTGTGTACCTGGTGGTAATGCTGTGTATCAGCCCTGCCTGGTCCACTTCAAAATCATAATGCTATCATCCAACAGAGTCATGGAATAAGTCACTGAGCTACTGAGCTATCTACAGTGGAATCAAATATAAGCATTCAATTATGAAAGAACAGGTGATTGGAGCATCAATGTTTCTATTGATCAAGTGACTTAGAAGTTGGAAGTCTTTGACAGAATTTTCCTGTTGATTTGCCAAGTGATGACTGACTTTCCAAGACAGTTTTAAAAAGTGCCCTGTTAATTTCATCCTTGGCTCCAGAGCCCAAGAAGAGAATGACATGATTATCCCATTAAGTCATGGGAAATAGGTTTTAAGCCTACAACTAGAATAATCTCTGAAAATGAAATACCTTGGGTTCATACACTAAAAGGTATGGACCAAAGACAACTCACTCTTAAGGTGTGTCAAAGTACTGGAAGATGAGAAGAGAGAATCTTCTCCAGGTCTTCAATGTGATCTCCCAAGGAGGCCACTTGCTAGCCCATAAAAAGTGGACTTCCTTGACTCTGCAGACGTTTGTCTGATTGAAGCAGGTGATGAGTCAGAGTCTTATAATTCATAATTTAAAACAACCTCCGCCTTTCGGACTTGTGTTCTTCCCATGTCAATACTTCCTAGAGTGACACACCTATACAATTTTATTTCATTTTGTTTTTTTTAACTATCTGGCTATTTGGTAAAAACATGGCATTAAATACATATTGAGTTTTCCTGTTCTAGTACTCAAAGTTAGATCTCCTAGGAGAAAATTATATTAACCTTACAAGGTAAGAGCAACTAATAAAAAAATAAATAAATAAATAAACAAAGCACAAATACACACACAAGGCTGAAGATACATACGGAATTGCCATTCACCTTAATATATCTGAATTTATTCTGCCATCAGCCTCTCTTATGTCTGTGGTCTCTAGAAATCATCTCCTTGCTCTTAGTAAGTTAAAAAAGTCTCTGGCTATGTGGTATCCTTAATACTTTCTCCCCAGAAAATTTATGATATTTAAAGAATTTCATATCATAGCAAGAAAAAGATA